ATGTCATCCCGGTCCCTAGTGGAGCAGACTACTGAGTTCACCATTAAGGGAAATACGTCAGAATTTACAACCACTGGCATTAGTGCGGCTCTGCCTACTGCTAACTGTTTGAAAGAAATAATAGAAAAATACCCGGGGATAACAACACCATTCCGGTATACAGAAACCGTTCGTCACAATGCGAGCACCATATTTATACTACAGGCCCACCCAGGCATTCATCTCCACGTCGATTGAGGCCCGATAAATATAAGTTGGCGAAAGCAGAGTTTCAGCACATGCTGGACCTCGGTATAATTGGACCTTCTTCGAGTCCTTACTCATCTCCTCTTCATATAGTTCCAAAACCAGACTCAGGAGCTTGGAGACCTTGTGGCGACTTCCGGAAGCTGAATGCTACTACAATTCCGGATAAATATCCAATCCTGCACGATTTCGCAGTGGGTTTGCAGGGCGCCACAATCTTCACCAAACTTGATCTAGTGAAAGCATTCCACCAGATACCAGTGGCCAAGGAGGACATTTATAAAACTGCAATAACTATTCCTTTTGGTTTATATGAATTCGTGAAAATGCCATTTGGTTTAAGGAACGCCACACAATCTTTCCAATTGCTTATAGATGAAGTGTTGAGAGGTTTACCTTTCACCTTTGCCTATATTGATGACGTCCTGATCGCCAGTAGAAACAAGACCAAACATCGTCATCACGTGGAGCAAGTTTTCCAGCGTCTACAGCATTTTGGCCTAAAGATTAACGCAGAGAAATGTATTTTTTCTGTACCCACACTTAAATTTTTGGGGCACGTCATTGATGAAAAGGGAACAACGCCCTTACCTGAAAAAAATAGCATATATTTCAAATTTCTCACAACCAACTTCACTCCGGCAGTTACGCCGATTCTTAGGCCTAATTAATTACCACCGGAGGTTCATTCCTGGTTTTTCCTAGATTTTGATTCCCCTCACAAATTTACTGCAACAACAGCGTCAGAAGAACTCGAAGATTACCTTAAAAGGCGAATCACTGACTGCTTTTCACAGAGCCAAAAACATCCTTGCCAATTTTACGAAGTTATCGTATATAACCGATGATGACTCAATGATCACACTGACAACAGACGCATCGGGCGACTCCATAGGGGCTGTGCTTCAGCAGGAACAGGGAGATGCTAAAAACCTATTTCGTTCTTTGCGGTCAAGCTAAATTCAGCTCCAAAAATGTACAGCGCATTTTCGAGTGAATTACTGGCAATATACTTGGCAATCCGTCATTTCCGTCATCTTTTGGTAGGACGGAATTTTGTGGTTTATACAGATCATAAACCACTAACCTATTCTCTGCTCGCCAAGTCGGACAAATATACCTCAAGGGATATCCGACAAGTGGATTATATTTCCCAATATACGTCGAATATCCGCTATGTAAAAGGGGCTGGCAATTTAGTAGCTGATACTTTATCGCGATCAACGATACAGACTAATCGACGCACAGCCGTTGAACTTCGACTCCTTTAGTGGAGGAACAAAACAATGACACTACTTTGGAATCAGTAAAAGAAAAAACGTCACTACAGTTAAAGCAACACTCTATGCCATTCGGTAACACTACTGTATATTGTGATGTAAGCACAGAATATTCTAGGCCCTATATACCAACTTCTTTGCGAAAAAAAGTATTCGAACATTTCCATTCTCTGTCGCACCCTGGTGCAACTACTGCACTGGACGGAGACTTGTTTAAAATGCCAGCAAACTAAATATACCAAGTCCCCGCCTGGTACATTCTCTAAGCCTGATGTAAGGTTCACCTACATCCACGTTGTGGGCCCCTTGCCCGACATTGATGGGTACCAATAATCGATCGTTTCACTCGTTGGCCGGTTTTTAAGTACTTCGGCGGAAACGATTTCCAGGGGCATTCTTAGAGAGTGGATTTCTATCTTTGGTTGTTCTTCAATAATACTGATAGAGGTTTCCAGTTCCAGTCAGTACGTTTCAATGAATTTATAAACTTGTTAGACGTGAAGCACATTTCTACAACCACCTACCATCCATGTGCAAATGGCCTTGTGGAACGATTTCATAGGCAACTTAAGACAGCACTAGCAGCAAGTGATGACCCCAGGACTTGGCTGGAAAACCTACCACTGATTTTACTGTCATTAAGAAACGTGGTCAAAGAGGACTTAGGATGCACTACAGCAGAACCTGATTTGGGGAGTACGCTAACACTCCCTGGACAATTCGTGGAAAAGCATACTCCTTCCAGACCGACTATTTATTTCGTTCAGGATTTGAAACAAAAAATGGAGAACCTAGCCTTTACTCCAACGCGTGCCCAAACAAGGGAGTTTTTTACGCCAAAACATTTAAACAGTTGTGATTAAGTCTTTCTGCGAAAAGATGCAGTTAGAAGACCCTTAACTCCCATCTATTCTGGTCCACATAAAGTAATTAATAAAACGTCCAAGCATTTTACTTTACTTTTGCATGGAAAGCATAACACAGTGTCAGTCGACCGGTTGAAACCGGCTTACATTGATTTATCTCATCAATCGCTTCATGACCCAGACCTAAAACCTTCAACCCCACCAACGCAGCTTACACCTTCAGTACCACCCGCGGAAGTTACTACCAAGTCTGGCAGACATGTTCATTGGCTTAATAGATTTAAAACGTACATAACGTATTGAGAAAATTTTCTCTCAAAAACTTTCACAATTTGCGGGAGGGGGGGTGTTATTGTAGAATCAGATTTCTACATTTATTGTTTTAAATCTCAAATTTGTGCAAGTTAAACACATAGGGACTCCGAGCCAAGTTTATAACAACTGATGCATTCTGATTGGTTGAAAAATATCAATTAGGTGTCATCAACTACGTCCGAAGGTACCGACCCAAATTTTGACCTCGAATTGACCTCACAAAATGTAAAGATGTTCTCGAGCTACCACTTGACGAAGAGAACTAATAAATACGAAACTTTGACGCAACTTAGTGAATGGTCCTTAAAATATTCAACTCATTCACTTGACTTCATGGGAGATCGACACACAACAGTCAAAGTGAGACGAACCAAGTTTTTCAACGCGAGAACGAACATTGTCACCCAATTCCAGGCTCACTCACCAGGAAAGAACGCTCACTCCAACAATTTATTTATTCCACTACGAACATCTCCGGTAAAAGAGCGAAAACTCTGTAGAAATCACAGTGAGTCAAGAACAATACTTTTTAATTTAATAAAAAAAATCAGAACTATTTAATTATTCTACAACAATAATAATAGTTAAGCACAACAACTTCAAAGTCTTCAATATTACACACAATGAAGAACTTTAAAATGTTTTAACAACTTTAGCATATATTTTGTATTTGTTGTAAGCACACCTTCTTATTTTCATACATACAGTTCAACAACTTCAAATTCTTCAATATTACACACAATCAAGAACTCTAAAATGTTTTAACAACTTTAGCATATATTTTGTATTTGTTGTGTTTTATAAAATATTTATTGTTGAGCAAATTATGTCTCCTTGATTATTTCTCTTGTTGTTTTTTGCATTTGCTTACACATTCGTAAAGTAAAATTGTACGGGTTGATTTAGGCCGTCAATAACGATACAATATTTATATTTTACAAATCACAAAAAAAGTAGTATTTCAAGTCAGGAGTCCCTTAACCCATTAGGTTTATATGGATACCATATGCACTGCAATTATAGCATCAGTGTCTGGAGTAATCCCATCCCTCTTCTGAATGAATTCAGTGTTTTTCTAGATTGGCTGCTAAGGCAAAAGCTCCAAATCTATCATATTATTTAAATCATAAATGGGGGAACGTGGATTTATGTCTTCCCAAGAACATTAGCGCAAAGTGAACGAAAATGAATCGATCGAAATTTGGACTTTAATCTCTTGGTCTTAAAATATCAGTTACTGGGTATATGGCCGATTTTAAAAGTACATAATTATTTTCTCTTATGTCATCACTCGAGGTCCTAATAAAACAATTTCGACAGTTCATCTATGTTTTTCTTCTTTACATGACTGATACGTATTCATATTGCAACTGATTACTAACATATGTCAATGACCAACTTATAGTGCCTTGTAAGAATTTGTAGAAATGCAGGTCAACAAATTTCAAAAAGTCGTTCGAAATTTTATTTTTCTTTATATCAATGGTTGTTTGTTTTGCTTTAAGCTGGTTTGGCTTTAAGATGGTATGTGAGTGTGGAAGGCTTTTTTTATGTGTGGGTGAAGTTGTTTTCCAAAGATATCTATTTACAGATAAAGAGAAAAAATAAAGAAAACTTTTTGCTTTAGTTTTTATTTTTTTCATTTAAGAAGGGAAAAGAACATTCACACGGAGAAGAGAAATTACGAAGGAAGGGGAGGTAATGAAAAATACGCATTAACGCTTTCAACTTGGACACTACAAATTCTAAGCCAAACAAAAAGCCTTTTACATCTTTGTCAAACCAACTTAATTTTTTTAATGTCACTTTGCTTTTCTTTCCTTTTCTACAACAGAAGAAGTAAAGCATTTTAAGTAAAATAATGAAGTTTGACATTTACTGCAGCGAACAGCTAAGCACTTGAAAAAAATATACCACGTGATCACGTCACTTACATTTTTATTTCCTTTTTTTCGTTTAGAGTAAGAAGTCAATTTGCCATTCGTCGTTAAGACGAGAAACAAGTCAGACGTAAGTCTGCTTCAGCAAGGCCGACACGCACGAAAGCGTAGCTGTTTCACTGTATTTACATGAAATTTTCTTAAACATGTTGATATTTTTTAAATTGGAACAATTTCCTATCCTCGCTTTACTTTTCCTGTTCTATACCGTTCAGGTCCTAACAAGTAATGCACAACCAAGGACGCGCAGTTCGAATATTGAAGAAAAAATCCAGAGTTTTGTTCAGAAACTGTGTACATGCAAGAATATAAAGGGATTGACATTAGCAGTCGTTCAAAATGATCGTATTCGCATGGCCAAGGGCTTTGGTTATAAGAATCTGGAGACAAAGGAAAAAGTAGACGAAAAAACGCTGTTTGGAATCGCTTCTCTCACTAAAGCCTTCGCAGCAACAACGCTCGCTAAAATTCTCCCGGAAAACAAGTATGTTCAGTATTTGTTTTTTTATCTTGCTTTTCAATATATTTTATACTAAGTTTTCAAAACATTCAAAAGTTACAAACATTTATCACTTACTACATATAGATAGATAGATATACGAACTTGCATATTTTCAAACATTCTGAAATTAACATTTACTGCCACTCAATGTAAGAAAAATATTTTCTGTTCTCGTGTTTATATTTTATTGCTGTTTTACTTATAAATCGTTTTCATATTGTTGCCTTTAACAATAAAGATTTTAATTTGTTTTGAACAATGAAAATTAATCAGGCCTTTTGACAAACAACTTTCGAGATACTCTCGACAACAAAACAGGTTAATAAATACATGTTGCATTAAAATCATTATAGATGCTGGAATTATTAACAGCTAAAATATTTTTCTTATCTTTACTATTTTAACCTTGTATTGAAAATGTTTAATTCATAATTGAAGTTGTAAGGTAATGAGATATATATATATATATATATATATATATATATATATATATATAGTTTGGGACCTTGTGGCACGTAGTTAAAGATCAAATGTAGATCGGAATCCGACAGGTTGATAAGATAAAGAACAAATAAGAAACGTTTATCAATCTAACATGTTTCACTTTTATTAAAGCTTCATCAGAAAATGAGAAGGAAGTGACAAAAAGACAGAAATTTTGTTATTTTCAAATTTTGTTTGGTTTGATTTTCATTGGTCAGTCATGTATGACGTGCATTATAAACGCAAATAATTCTATATGTATGTAAGTTTGTAAAAATTCTAATTTGTCTGTGCGGTCATCGGATTATAATATGCATTCGTAATTATGCTTGTGCCAGAATTTCCGTATTTTTGTCATTTCTATCTCAATCTTTGATGATGCTTTAATAAATGTGAATCATTTTAGATTGATAAACTTTTCCTTTGTGTTCTTTATCTTATATATATTTATATATATATGTGTGTGTGTGTGTGTGTGTGTGTGTGTCATTATTACATTAAACGCTATAATTAGTGGATATGTCTGAGTAAACATTGCTGTTTTTAAACAGTGCAAATTTACATCTACCGTCTGTGCATTCACAACAGTTAATAATATATAGAGAGTTGTGTGTATGACTACGTAAAATATGTGTGTATGTTTGTAATATATATATATATGTATGTGTGCGTGCGTAATGCATATATATATACATGTAATGCACATATATATGTAATGCATGTATATAATGTATATATATATATATGTAATGCATATATATATATGTGTGTGTGTATGTAATGTATATTTATACGTATGTAATATATGTATATATGTGTATATGTAATGCATATATATATATATATATATATATATGTGTATATGCAATATATATATGTAATATATATAATCTATATATATATATATATATGTATATATATATATATATATATATATATATATATATATATATATATATATATATATATATATATATATGTGTGTCTGTGATGGCTGGCCACTCGTATCCGAGAATGTCCGTGTAGTTAAATGTATTTTTTCATCACCCATAGAGCTCACCTTTGATGTATACTGCAAATATTATAATGCCTTATTTACAATTTTTCTGACAGAGTGCATTATCTCGTGATTAACGCCAGTACGCTCCAAACTTGTGACTTCGTGCTAGATGAAACAAGGGTTCTGTCTACTCATTTTCACTCACAAGGCTTGGGTCAACCCATGGTACGGTTTTCAGGTACCTTCCAAGTGTGTAGCTCGCTGGAATCGTCTCCCCCAGACCGATAACATCAGGAAGTCACCTTCATGAGAAATTGATCCTAGTGAAATTCGAACTCGGGTCCCGTGGTCTGTAAACGAACGTTCTAAACACTGCCCATACCTTATTTTTATAGATACAATTATTTAAGTAAATGCTCTGTTTATATATATAATATGCAGTATTAACATCATTTACTGGACTGAATGTCCGAGAAATTTCATAGAAAGAACATATGTCTTCTCTGACAGGAATTGAACCTGTATTCTATCCGGAACTTTCATTTAGCTAAATGGAGCAGCACATCTGTCTATATGACGGTTCCGTGCATGATACAGGTTCGATTCCTGTTGGGGGACACATATGTTCTTTCTATGTCATTTCTCAGACATTCAGGCCGGTAAATGTTAATACTGTTTATTATAAACAGAGCATTTGCTTAAATATTTTATCTATAAAAAATAACGTATAAACAGAAAATATGTCCATTTCATAATATATGATGTCACACACACACACATATATATATATATATATATATATATATATATATATATATATATATATATATATATATGCATGCAGGGTGCGATTGGAAAATAGCCGCCATTTTTATTTCGCGCATGCACGTTGTTTGTTTTAATTTTGTCGACTGTACAGTATAGAAAGGTCAGTTGAGCTCTGGCTGTGAGAAAAAGAGTACGATGACGCAATTCGCTTCACCAGAAATTTGGAAACGGCATGCATGTTGTACTGCTTGGCATTCGCGCCAGAAGCTCCAATACGAACATTTCAGAGTGTTTGTGTGTCAATCTGAGGACAGTGCAGAGGACTCGGAAAGAGTTGGATGAGTCTAATGTAATTGCGAAGATACGGCAGGTCTGAAAACTTACCCTGTTCGTTCTGATAAGAAAAGAACTCTCGAAGTTTTTGGTGAAGGCCTCAGGCCTACATCAAGTGCCTTAAGGAGGTAGTGCTGTCCTGGGTTAATAGGGTGGCTGCTGGAAGACCCTATATCTGGTAACATGACTATCCACCATGCCATAGGAACAGGAGAACCCAGCCATGGCTGTCAGATTTCTGCGACTACATCACCCCTTACATCTGGCTACCTAACTCCCCAGACTGCAATCCCCTTCATTCTTATGTGTGGGGCGCAATTGAGCGAGAGATCAACAAAACTCCTTGTAACACTAAAGATGAACTGTAGGTAAGAATTATAGCAGCATTCACCAACTTAAACAAGGAGACCGCCTAGAAGATATTGCTGGCGATTCCGAAGTTGTCTGGAGGCCGTGGGTGATTTTACTGAATAAATTGACTCTTTAGTATTTCAAGATATTTTTGTGTAATTTTGGCAAATATATATGTTAAAATGAGATGTCAGTGTCATTTTCATTTTTGCATAATTTAGACGACAATTTATCCATCGCAACCTCTGTGTGTGTGTGTGTGTGTGTGTGTGTGTGTGTGTGTGTGTGTGTGTGTTTCTTCATCCTGCATGCATCAAATTCTGAGTACCAAATATGTTTGGTGAAAATTTGAAATTGTAATATTTACTGGGGAGTATGTTTAAATATTTTCATCCTATTATTTATATAATTTATATATAGAGAATATTTTTCTCGTCTTTGTTGTTGTCTTCAAAAAGTTTGTCCTCCGACTTTCTTCGTGTTTCTGTCGATCCGGGTAAGCTTTAGCGAATTTTGAACTGAATCCTTTATTTAATCTACGAGGCGAGATTGTTCTCGTTATCCATGTCGAAAGATATTTTGTTCGTTTTAGTACTGCTCACTTATTACTCGTCTTGTTTCCACTGAGTCTAAGTTAGTTTTAGCCAATCCAGGTATTGAACTCACACTGACTATACAACTGAATTCCCGCACCAACGTTCTGAAGGTTCACCTGGATGGACAGACACCTGAAGAAAGACCCAGGCACAACTGCTGAAATGTTGCTACAAAAACAATTAAGATGGGGACAATAGTCCGAATTTAAATTAAATAATGATTATGATAAATTAATAAAATCAATTAATTATTAACACTTCATCGCAGAAATTCAGACAGAAATTCTTACTGTATCAGTTGAAATTACTTTTCATATCGGATAAGGTCATAGACATTAGTTTCTTTCAAGCGTTGGTCACAAGGATCTATTTAAACTACTATGGAAAACTACTTTAGAAAAAATGTTAGAATAACCCAGATCTTATACTGGAAGTAAACTACCAGCATGCGAATAGAAAATGAATTTAGTAGCTCCACAAATATAGACAGGATATGCCACCCGCTCAAATGTATTCAATCTCTACAACGACGCTATCGTAATGGAGCTGGAGACCCTACCATGACTTATTATTATTAATGGACGTAATCTTAACAATATAAAATACGCAAATGATACTATGTTGATGGCCGACTTGAAAAGAAAGAGTCTAGTAGAAGAAAGCGACAGAGAAGGATTAACTATCAACTGCAGGAAAACTGAAAGTATAGTCATCAGTAAAATGCGAGTTACAAATTGGAGATATCAACATCAAGTATCTACAGAAGTTTACATATCTGAGAAGTGTTTTAACAGAGTATGAAAAATGTGACACTAAGATCCCATAACGCATTGGACTAGCGTAAGAAGCATTCCAAAAGTGCTGAGAAACAGAAAGATTTCGTTAGAAACAAAGAAAAGAGTGCTGTATTGTTCTGCGTTATCCATCCTCTTTTATAGCAGTGAATGCTGGACAATATCTCCCATGGACGAAGAGAAAACTGGAGGCAACAGAAATGTTGTTATACAGAAGGATACGGGTAATTCCATGGAGGGGGGAGTGAGTAAGCAACAAAAAAGTCTTAAAGAAAATGACAAGAAAAAGAACACTTTTACTCAAAATCTTGAAGAGACAGCCGAAATTTCTTGGATATATAATGAAGAGAGATGGCTTGGAAAACTTATCTTTCAAAGGGCATATTAAATGCAAGAGAGATAGGTGATGACACGACACATAACAAGAAAAGATATGCGATAGTACAGGCTTTATTAAAGTCCATTGAAGAGAGTGTAATACCATGTGGTCTAAATATTGTTTATACCTCCTTACTTTGGAATATGTGTACGTATTAATATATACAGTGTGGGGGGAGACAAATATACGTACACATACAAATTTTGAATTTTTTGTATTTCCAAGTAATGAATAAACATACTTTTCATATAATTAACTGTACACAGATGCATAATAACTAAATATGCATAGAAAACAGAGAAAAAAAATTGATTTAATAGAAATAAATCCCGTTTATCCATTTTAATGGATGAAAAAGTATTCGTACAATGAAAATTTCAGATTTTAAAACTTTTAATTTGCTGTAATACTCTACATTATTCAAGTGAAATATTCTAGAATGTTCCAATAATGTTATCAGTAGTTATTTTTCGTCTTAAAATACAAACAGAACCTTTTATAATTGATATTCGTGCAAGAAGGTTATCATCATGGCAAGAGGTAAAGAAATGACAAATTCGAAAAAAGAAATGATTGTTAAGCTCTGGAAAGAAAGTAAAAGTTACAGGAAAATCTCGGACAGCCTGAATATTTCATTTACTACCATTAGTTCATTCATTGCAAGGTATAACAAAATTCAAAACTGTTGAAAACTAAAGATGTTTATTCATTAGTTAGAAATACAATAAATTAAAAATTTGTATGCATACGAATATTTGTTTTGTCGCCCCCACCCAGTATATATATATGATCATTTACTGTAACCCAACTCAATTACTTACACGTTTAATCGTGAGTGAATTCACACGCATATTCAGTATGTTGTGGTTTTCCGTCAGTGAATATTTACAACGCTTATATTTTAAGTGAAGTTATTATCAAATTAACATTATTTTAGAATTAAGGTTTTGCTACGCTAATGTGATAGAAAAATGAATGGATTTTGAGCAAGAAAATTCCAACATCAGATAAAGTCGAGTATCTTCATGCATAACTCTTAGCAAAACTCACTTTTAAGCCAATATCTTTTCAGTTGTTTTCTTTTTTTTTAAATTTCAGTGTTTTCAAATTAGTCTTTTCTTCAAGTTGAATGAAGAAATTCTTAATTTTTATTGTTTTTCAGAAGTTAGATTTTATTTTTCTACTTATTTATTTGATACTTGCTTCAATTTTCTTCAGTATAACATTAACTACACCATTAAGTGAATTTATGAACATTACCTTCCCGAGTAAGCAACTGAACGCCTACGCCACCTTGGAAGATCTTCTCTCTCATCGGACTGGATTAGTCAAAAACAACTACTTACGACTCAACCAAAAGTTTACCCGCAGAACCCTTCACAAGTAAGAAAATATTATTCATACATTCAAACGTATAACTGATGTTATTGTTGCAGATAAACTCGTTGCTAATATTTTTAATTTAATTTTTTTATCTATAATTTTAATGTCTTAATCAATTTCCTCCTGCAAATATCATGTTACTTAATTTGTTTCTTGAACAGATTTTTAAAAGATTTCGGCATTCTGCAAGACTTTCGCACTGGCTTTATCTACAACAATGTAATGTACGGTCTAGCCTCGTTTATCACGGAGCTTTTAACCAATAACACATGGGAGGACGCTGTCAGAGAGCAGTTGCTTTGGCCACTTGGAATGAACGAAACTACTTTCAGTACAATAGCCGATTTTGACAGCTTGAATATAGCTTATCCATATTTGAATTTCCAATCAAAAGGCTTCCAGCGGATCTCTCCTAACTTCACGAAGTAAGTCTTTTTCATCAACTATACGCGCGAGCTCAAACACACACACACACACACACACACACACACACACTTTCGGCTCGTACTTCATTTTGATGTACTGAGCACCGTAGTTATATTTCATTTAGGAAAGTCTAATTGTTTAGGCCAGAAAACTGTTAGATCATTTTCAAAGCTGCAGGATTTATGGGATGCTCAAGTTCAGTTGTAATGAATGCCTAACTGTAGTGATCTTAAGGGGAAATTTCCTTCCGCCGATACAGAAGCGAGTAGTGAAAGGAACATTTCCTTCAAAGTAAGAGCCAACAGAATGGCTACTATAGCAGAAGGAAGGAATTCATCATAATACGCAGTACATTATGCCTTGTGGTGCCTGGGTTTGCGTATCCAGATTAGTCAGAATGCTAACCAATGTCCTTCGTTAAAAAGTGCTTAAATAAGCACACAAGTGTTGGAACTGGACGTTGTATCAATGGAAGAAGGTCGGCCGGTCCGACGAGTCTCGCTTTATCCTGAATAAATGAAGAGAGCACGTGTGCACCCATAGAATTGATGACATCAGGATGAACTGGAGACAAAATAAGAAGTCCATGTGAAAGTTTGAGGAACTTTTCGCTAGAATACTTGATCCTATCATTTATGTGGAAGGTACTTTGTCGTTTATCATCTACCTCAATATAACTGAAAACCAAGAACACCCCTTTATATCAATTCGGTTCTATGCTATGATAAACATTGTTATCTTTCAACGGGAAAATGTTCCACTGCCACACTGCACTAGTTGTAAAGGAAGTTGTTCACTGCTTTACCATGACCATTTCTTAGGGTCTCAATGCTAATGTGTATTTATGAGATGTCTTAAACCAACACGTTCACTCCGTAGAAGCTCAACCACATAAACTGTAGCAGTTAAATCATCTGTTATTAACAGCCTGGATTCAGATCTTTGTAGAATAGTTTAGTGCTTGGTAGGGTAAATGCAGTTTTGTTAGGCAACTGGTCTTTATGTGTGTGCGAGCGTGTGTGTGTGCGCGCGTTTGTAAATTTTGCAGTAATTTTTCATTTAAGAAAGTTTTATTAAAACCACGGACAAGTTTGTTTTTTCATAAAATGTGGGGAAAAAATGTCCGTATACATATTTTCGAGCGCTTTCAATTATCATTGTTAAATTTCAATGTTATGGTTTTTAAATGCAACAAAAAATGGAGCTGTTCGATTTTCTATCATGACGTTTGGTGTTTCAGATTTTATAATTTAAATAGTGTTTACCGCATCAATGTAATTAGGACTTTCGTCCAAGCGTTTTTACAGAAGCACGACAATTATTTTTCTACTTTCAACTGTTTATTTTCCGTGGAAATTTTCTCAGTTTTGTATCATGTTCAATTTCAGAAAATGGGGAGAACTTGGGGGATCTGGTGCCATGCTTTCCAATGCGCTGGATATGACACGGTGGATGCGTTTCTTGCTGAACAAAGGGGAACTGGATGGTAAACGCATCATGAATTCAAAAACCGTAGATGATATATTTAAAGCCCGTAATTATCCTATTAGCCGAACGACAACTTTTATACGTCCAAACACTCCTATCACAATCAGTAACGACTTGTACAGTTTGGGTTGGAGGAAAGGTTATTTAAGAGGTAAGTACAGAAAAATTTCTTATTACACTATGTAACACGATATTTGTCCTTGGGTAGCAACTGTTATTGCTTATTTGCTTACGCCTAGAAATACGAAAAATGGCAAATATTTCCTTCAAACTTTGTATTTGTGACCAGGATAATGATATTTCTGAAATTGACTTATTCCCCTTGGGAAAACTGGCGATGTGAACATTCTCGTTCACGCAAAACAGGAATAAAACGATACATGTTCAAAAGAAGCCATTGTTTATTCTAGGATTACACAAACTCTAGATCACGAAACATTTGTGAGCAGTTTTTCGTGATTTACGCTTATGCTCTAAATTACTTTCATGAATCAGCCCTCAAATATAGCTTTCAATCATGTTTTTCTTATACGATCGTTGGTAGTGGCGTTCAAAGTCCAATATAAAGCGCTAGCCTTGCTCCTCTGATTTATGACTCCATGTTCTCATTGAATTTATCAAGGTGAGCGTCAAGCTTAGGAAAGAAAAGCGGCAGACTCCTTATCTAGAGTTTATCAAAACTGTGACATATTGTTTCATAAGGTCCAGTTGTAAGTGCAGTGAAGGAAATAATACTTCCCGAGGATCCACCAATGTCTCCCATTTGACGTTGTTCTTCTCAACACTGAACTCGGTCCGCCGTGGCCAGTCCAGCATGTGGTAGTGTGCCACGGTGTCCCTGCTGTCTCAAAGGCAAAGATAACATGGAAACTTGATAAAATCGCCTTAGAGACCCATCAGGAAGGCCACCATTTTGAAGTGTCCGATAACCTCCCAACCGTACTCTTCATATTTCAAGGCATATAGCAAGATTTTGAGACTTCTGTCTTACTCTTTGAGATACACTGAGTGAGCCAGAGAGAGAGAGAGAGATGGATACACTTTCCCGTTATGAAGCAGCACGGCCTTGAAGCTCGTGGATGACCTATCGATGAAGAGGCGCCACTCGCCAAGATTACAGGCGATCTCTGACCAGGTTTTTTTGGTTGGGTATTATGGGTTTTTCTCCTCACCTGCACTTCTGTAATCTGAATCAATAAATTCATTCTCTTCTGAATTGCTGTTCTCTTCTAAAAACGGTCTCTCTCTCTCTCTCTCTCTCTCTCTCTCTCTCTCTCTCTCTCTCTCTCTCTCTCTTACTCACTCAAAGAGTGGCAGCGCAGGTATCCTTAAGGCCTCTTGCGAGTCAGAAAGATTCCTAGAAATAATCCCGATTGAATCAAAACCAAAAGTAGCAATATCAGTTATTCCTATGTACATTTCTCTGATTTTCCTTTCGAGGTTTTGGCGCCTCTGCATTTTTGCCTGCTCTACCATTACGATCGTCTTATGCCAAGGTACTGCAGCATCTATCAGAATCCATGGCTGTTCGTGTGCACACGTGTGATGTTAGGGCGATTGCTCTCCAAGCGCTTATCACTTCTTCGTGCCATAATCCCGGTTATCAATATATTCTGAGAGCTACTTTTCTATGAAGTCATCTGTAGTCTTTTTGTGCCAGCTGGTAATATGCTGTACAACTTTTGGAGCTATTCCACACAAACCTTTACAAGAGTAAATCAGCTGTTTTATCAATAGAGTACGTGATGGAATTTGTTTCTGTTTTTTTTGTTTTTGTTTTTGTTTTTTTTGGGTTTTTTTTTTCTTGTGCCTGCTCTCATACTGCACATATCCTCCCTTTCGTTTCCTTCTTTAAGAACCCTTTGCTCCGTGCAAACTTTTTTCTTGACATACATTTGTTGTGGGTGGTGCTTACTTTTTGGACTTTGTATGATGATTTTCTTGCGTTGATGATGCAACGATGTAGATAGTGAAGCAGTTTAAATGTTTTTTGTTTTTTTTTAATTATTTCTCTTCTTTGTCTAAGTATTCTGGGCTGCATATTCTAAGGGTTCTGAGGTTAAAACCTATGATTAGTCCTGATTTTATTTTTTACCTGTGGTAGGAATAGAAATTGATTAAATCTTCTTTGTTCGTAGGTTTGCGATAAACTTTAAAATCTAAAAATTTGTTCTTGTTTCGTATTAATACGATGTTGAGGAAAGGTCGAGTTTTGTTTATTTCATTCTCATGTGTGAATTCGATTGTTCTACGTTATTGAATCTCTTTATGATATTTACTAGATTTTCATTGTGAGGATACATTAGAAGGATGTCATCTATGTATCTGAGGCAAGTGGAGTTTTTTTTTTTAGGTATGATGTGGTTAAATGAGATATCTCCGACCATTTTCAAGCTCTCGTCTGTGTCAACTGCAATATGATAAAAAGTAATAGCGATATTCTTATCGCTACATTTTTTATCATATTGCCGTCATATTGACACCAAGAAAAAACTTATTCGTACTTAGCCAGTTTTTTTTGTCCTTTCGATGTTAATACTGTTCTCCAACTAGTCATGTTGTTCTGTAAAAAACACTGTTTGTAGCTTCACTATGTCCATGCATTTTAACATTCATGTGTGTGGTACTATATCGTAGGCCTTGAGATAATCTATTCAAGCTGTAATCAAGTTCGTCATGCGCCTCCTGCAATTCTTAAGAATCACATTGTTAGTCGAAATTTGGACTTTAGTACCCCGTGAAAGTTGTAGGTAGGTCTTATCATTATGTATTCCTGTAGAAAATTTCCAAATCAAAGGCAATCAAGCAATAGGCCTGTAATTGCCTGTCGTTTCGTAGATCTTTCATTATACAGATTGTCCTACTTTAATAATTCATTCTGGTACTATACGATGATCTTAAAATTCTTGCAGGCTTTTTAAACCAGAAATCTTGTACAAGGTCTAGTTCACCTGTTTTCAAGTTAGCCATCTTACCAACTAACATTTCAACTTCCTCCAAGATAATGATTGCATCTTCATGCGGGTGATTTTTGCGCAGTTCGTTTTCTACCACCGGCAACCGCGGCTTATGACATTACACATCATCACGCGAGAAGGAAAGTGAGAAGTGTTAAATATGGGAAGTCGTTGGTTTGAACCAATGGCTTCTGTTATCAATTATAGACATTTGAGTATATTTGTGTAGTTTTCATAGTTTATTTTGTTCAGGTTAAATTTCAACTGTATTATGTATATAGCTTCAAGAATTTTTAGTTTTTGTTTATTGTTTTCATGTTTAAGTCTATACTTGTTTTCCACAAGGATTTTCTGGAATTGTGTATGCGGCCAGGCATGTCCTTTTAAATGCCTAAAAATGTTAGAGTTATTATTCAAATGTAGAGTCAAGCGTCGTGAAAGCGAGTTTGTGGGGTGACCAACATAAATATTATTTAATCCGTTGGATATACAATCTCCCAAAGGGCACTTGAATTTGTAAACTACGTTGCTTTTTTGCAAATCGCTAACGGTGGGGGAAGAATCATTGCGAATAATTGAGTTGGATATACTAGATTTAGTGTAGTATATGATTAACTTAATTTTTTTGCTAGGATCTGTTGTGGATATATTAGTATTTACCAATTTTTTATTATATTTTCATCTTGTTTATAATTAGTATGCACTTAATTACGATATAGGAGATTAATATGTTTGGGATTAGTTGAAGCAGTATTACGTTCTATTTGCTTAGTATTGAAACTTCAAAGAAAGCATCTGATTTGTTCATCAACTATATAGTTTGGAAAGCTATTATTAATAACTGTTTGTTTTATATTCTTTAGTTCACTGTAAAAATCTTTTTTTATGGATGAATTAGTTTCTGCACGATCTTTTATAATTGCTATTTTGTAATAATACGGACATTCGTTCTTGTAGTTAAGTGTACACGAATTTATGCTGGTCGGTTTTTTATATGGCAAAATAGTAAATTTGTTATTATTTGTGTTTATCAATATGTCAAGGAAGGGAATTTTATTAATAGTATTGAGTTCATACGTGAATTTAAGGACAGAATTATTTTGGAAACGTTTTTGAAGTTGAAGTATTTCATGTGTATTTTTAACTAGCATAAGGATATCATCAACATATCTTAGGTAGATGGATGGTTTTTGTCAAATCTGTAAATATCTTATTTTCGAAGTTCAACATGTAGAAAATGCTACCCATGTCGGACCCAGTACTGAACCCATGGAGACACCAATGAGTATATCAGCTAACAAAATATATTAACCAACTCATTACTTCCCTACCTTCCTAGTAAATATAGTGTTAAATCAACATTAGAAGTAATCCAAATCCTAAAAAGTGAAAAACCCAACAATGAAATCATAGCTTCACTTGATGTTGAGAACTTATTTACCAATGTCCCTGTTAGCGAAACTATTAACATAATTATAAGAAATATATACAGTAACTCATCTTTATACCCAGTTAAAATTAATTCTAATATATTACGGAAACTACTATTAGCTTGTACTACTGAAGTCCCTTTCTTAGATCATAATAATATATATATATATATATATATATATATATATATATATATATATATATATATATATATAACGTGATATGAATAACCCATCGGTCACTTTTGAATGTTAAATCCTAACTTAATAACATGTCTTTAAAATTAAAATCTCATTAATTTAAAATATAATTTGCGGTAATGAGTAAATTTATATATATATATATATATATATATATATATATATATATACATCAAATACTTTTTAAAGAAATAAAATCCCTTTCATTATAGTTTTTTCTTTTTTTAATAGAATTTAAATAGATTATGATTTATAGTCACATAGACAATAAAACCAAAATAAACATAAAATTACGTTGAGTTATATTTACGTTCAAATATATATACCCTATAAAATTCATCAGGACAAAAAATACGCTGATATTAATTTACATTAAATCTGTTACGTTTCTACGTAGCCTCGAACTCCAGATACTATTATTATTATTATTATTATTATTATTATTATTTCCTTTGATGTCTGCTGTATATACATTTCCTTCAGGGTCTCAACTAGAGAGGGTTTCATGCCATTATCCAATGATAATTTTTTAAACATTTTTTAAAAAATAAAAAAATTATATTATACACATTTTATATAGATAAGGCTACCAGGAATGAGTCTACCGGAAGCTTTTCCAATCAATCCAAGGGTTTCAACTACTGGAATTATTAGATTTCCACTTCAAGATCCTTGTATTTTGATAATTTTGCAAAGATCTTCAAAGATACATTACAATCTGCAGGAACTGCCATGTCAATAAGAAAGCCCATTCTGTTTTTGTGTCTTTGATCACGATGTCTAAGCAATTAGCTTTGATTGATCTATCTGTATGTATTGTAAAATTCTATAAAATTGTATTTATTATTATCATTATTATTATTTTATGGCAGGTTTTCCCATACTAACGCACACAGGATCAACGTGGGGCTACAAGGCAATGCTGACTTTATTTCCAGTGCAGAAGTTAGGTATCTTCAACGCCCAAATTGGGAGTGACGATAATTATATAAAAAGGCGTCTTCTTCACAGTTATGTTGCAGACCTATACCTCGGAGAGCAGCCATGGTTGAACAAAACTAGCGCGTGTGCATTCCCTTGGAAAGCGAGCAAGAAAAAGACAGCGATCAAAAAACGGGAAGCACATCCACCCTTTGTCTTGAATATGCAATACGATTTTACCGGCATTTACTCCAACCAATTATGGGGGAACCTTCGTATCGAAATGACTAACGCTGAACTGAAAATGATTTACGGTTATGGTACCTTTTTACTCTCGCCTAGTTCAAATCCTCTAGTTTTTAGCGCAGTCGGAACAGATGAAATTTGGTTTATGAAATTATCTTCAGTGAAATTTGAAACTCAACGTAACAAAGTGGTTTCTGTGACTGTGCCTTCATTTGAGAAACAAATGGCACCAACATTCAATAAATTAAGTAGGGAAAATGAGATTAGTTTTTTTTACAATTGATGTACACATTGAGCAATATTCAACTTCGTTTTGCACCTCTGCAAATGTTCAATTTAAAAACTACTTTCTAACATAATAACCGAATGTAAACATTTTTAAGTGTTAAGAAACAATTCATAATAAGTCTTTGTTTCATTAACAATGAAGTTTGAATGTTAATACAAATTAAAATTATGACCAGAGTAATTTAAATCAATTGCAAAACTACATTAATACCATTAATACTAAATTTCTTCCGATTCATATTTAATTCCTTAATGTGATGAGGAAAACGTGGATTTCCATGATGCCATTTTCTTGACATGTTCACATAATTCCGCCATAGCCATTTTTCTGAATTGTGTGTTGTGTGTTTGTTGCTATATAGTTTTCACAAGCTTATTGCAGTCATTATCATTTTGAATTGTCTGATAAAATCATCACAGTGATGCAGCATTTTATCAACATGTCGTATTCTTTGCACAGATTGTTCAAGATAGTGTAATTACATATTTTGACTAAATAAATTATCGTTTCTGCTTCATTTCCGACTTGTCATGAAAAACCATTTGCCAAAATGAAAAACTATTTGTTCATTACAGAAAAATATAATTAAAAAAATGAAAAACCATTTCTTCAAACATTTTTCTCTAATATATATTTTCTTCTCTAAATATATTTTCTATTTTTATTCACTGTTTAAAATAAATTTTTATTGACACTCACAAAATCTAATCTATTACAGGTAAAATGGGATAAATATGGATTGGAATACGGTATAAAACTAAATAGTAAGGCTTGATCTGTATATGTAAATACACACACACACACACACACACACACATATATATATATATATATATATATATATATATATATATATATATATATATATATATATTGAAACATGTTTCATTAAATAACATAGACATATTATGTCTATTTATTTTTATAATAATCCTTTCAAGTTCTCTAAAGGCGCCATAGTTTTTTTCCTATGCAAGTACTTTCGATCTCTTCCAAGATAATCCTCAGGGGTGAATTACAAAGACAAACTTATTGTAACTGTGATTGTTGTGACGGTGATCTAAAAAAATAGTTGTAGCTATGGAATTTTTTTTTTTTTTTTTTGCAAAACAAGCGTCCCAGTATAAGGGAGCTGACCAGAAATTGGTAGAAATGAAAAAATGGCATTAATTATTGTTAAATGCACTTCAACACCTTGCTACTACACTCGTAATAAAAAAAATTTGAGTGTTGGTTACTTTTGATATAGAGGACCTCGATAATTTGTAGTTTTTGTTTATTATTTTCATTTGTATATTATTTTTCTATATTGTGAAGGTGGACAGGAATGTGTTTTTCATTGCTGTGCAATAGAATTTCACGCCACGAAAATAATAAACAAAAACTGTTATGTTCGAAAATGTATCTGAAGTTGAGATACTAGCTCCTTTGTTTTTCGCTGACATTTTTTTTTTTTACTTTCCTGAAAATGCCGGATTTTGTCAGAGCTTGGCATGATTATTAGTATCTTGATATGCTTCGGCTCCCTTATTACGATCCAAACAGAGAATTACATACTTGCAAATAGCTGATATTCAACATACTTTACAGTGAATTAGTGATATAAGCAATAATCTGAAAGCAACATTCCAAATTCACCAGATTATGACTATGAAAAAGATTACGATGAAGAAGCTTATCAACTGCCGGATTATTTATAACAGTTGACCAGCCGATTATCAATTCAACGACTGAGTATGTAGCGTTGGTGCTATGAACCATTTAATAAAAATTAAATACAAATCTAAACACAAAACAAAAATACGTTGTTATCTTGATCTGTTTTTTTTTCTTTTTTTAGGAGGGTTAATTGGAAAATGCTTTTACGAATTAAGAATACACCCTCGTGTAGATTAATTGAAACAAAACGAATAATTCCGATATTATTTACTTTTATCGGATTTTTCCAATGAAACATGACCCAATGCACATGTTAGTACTTTGTATGTCAATTCCACAAAGTCGTTCCTTGGAGATTGACCATAGATTCTCGATTGAATTTAAATCAGGAGAGTTTCTGGGCCAGTCTATAGTACTTTGATTTGCTCACTGGTAAGGCTTGCCAGTGTGTTCGTGCAGCGTTACAATTTTCGTACGGTTCCTTGGAGTAACGTTCATCGCAGACAATGGCCGTAGGACAACAAATCGACAATAGGGACAATAGTGTCTGGGCGTGATAACAATCTGATGCAATCATGGATGACGCAATATTTTTTCAAGATCAAATAAGTTTCACTATACACCCCGAATTCATATTACTTCACACCACTGCAAATAAGCTATTCTGAGGAAAAAATATAAATCGATTTCACCTTGTCACTCCAGTGGGTCTAAAACTGACGGTATGGTAAAAGAGAGGAAACTAAAGCGGTTGTTTAAATTAATTGGCACAATGGTGTGTATATGTTGTGGAGTATTTTCACAGTGGAGGCTTGTATTTCTAATAAGTCGTCTTAAATTAGGTCCGACGTACAAAACGTTAGGAACTTGGAAAATAAGAGTCAATGGCGCAGCAATCTAGTCGTGATGGTTGGTACTTCAAATGTCCGAATCTCGACTGATGCGCTCAACACCATTCAGTATTTATCGTTTTACCCACGAGGACCGAATATGGCACAAGGCCGGTTTTAATGTGGGTATCCCCGAACCCGTAGGCCCGGCCAAAAATATAGCCTTTGAACCCGCCTAGACGGGTTCAGGCCCTGTCTACCTCCCCGGGCGAAACCTTGCCCTTCGGCAAAGCCTCGTCCGGGTTCCTCTCTGCTAACGCAGAGAGTTCGACAGAAGGCGTGCGCAGTCAAAGACCGCTCAACACCATTCGGTATTTATCATTTCACCCACGAGAAACGAATATGGCACAAGGCCGGTTTTAATGTGGTTATCCCCGAGCACGTAGGCCAGGCCAAAAATATAGCCTTTGAACCTGCCTAGACGGGTTCAGGCCCTGTCTACCTCCCTGGGCGAAACCTTGCCCTTCGGCAAAGCCTCGTCCGGGTTCCTCTCTGCTAACGCAGAGAGTTCGACAGAAGGCGTGCGCAGTCAGAGACCGCTCAACAGCATTCGGTATTTATCATTTCACCCACGGGAAACGAATATGGCACAAGGCCGGTTTTATTGTGGGTTTCTCCGAGCCCGTAGGCTCGGCCAAAAAAAATAGCCTTCGAAGCCGATTAGACGGGTTCAGGCCCCTGTCTACCTCCCCCGGCGAAACTGTGCCCTTCGGCAAAGCTCGTCTGGTTCCTCTCTGCTAACGCAGAGAGTTCGACAGAAGGCGTGCGCAGTCAGAGACCGCTCAACAGCATTCTGCCAGACTTGCCACTGCTACTCCTACTTGTTATCTATGGGAAAGTCCATTACCAAAGAATAGGTAGTATAACAGTATACGAACGTTGTAATGAATGAACAATTCTTAAATAAATTAGCTAAATCAATAAACAAACATCGTCATCAATAAAAAGGTTCAACTCAAAATTTGTATAAAATATTTTATTTGCTTGTATCACATTTTTACACGTTTTTCTTTTGATTATCGTAATTTGTAATTAAAATTGAAAAGAAAATTCAGATTATTTTAAGATAAAATCACTATATAAGTGTATGAAAAAAATACCGTAAAACAAATTTAATATTTTCCCATTTATTCTCGAGCGTTAAACATCTCAGTGGTTAAAAATCGGTCATCTGTCATGAGTGTCCACTAAAACATTATTGATTAAAGCCCAAGAAATTATCTGATTGATCTGAAAGTTCCTTAATGTAAGCAAAAAAGATATATTTGGGGACGTATTATAGTTGCGTATTATTCACATGCGCCAGCAATCAGTATCCTTCGAGCCTCGAATATCACATATATATTGTGTGTGTGTGTGTGTGTGTGTGTGTGTGTGTGTGTGTGTGTGTGTGTGTGTGTGTGTGTGTGTGTGTGGATGTGCGGTGATGTAATGGATAACCAATTGGTGGGACTGAGAAATCGAAGAACCGACTTAGAATTTCAGTCGAGTTAGTTACATTCACTTACGCGCAAATACCCTTGGGAAAGGTATGAATTCATCTCTTCTCCCTCCAGCTATGGGTTAAATTGTAAGGCATACTGAGTACTGTAGTCTTGTTTGGCAACCAGCCTAGCAGAAGGACAACTCTGAATCGAATATTTGTGGAGAATCGTTGGAGATTATGTGCATCGATTGTCTGTAGTCGGTTGTTCCCAAAATTGTTTTTGGTTCTGCAAAATCCTTGGTTAATTAGTTATAAAAACAAGAATTATTTTTACTTCTTTTTTTACTATCTACCACACGTTGTTTATGAAAACGTTTAACTAGATGGAAAGTAAATATGAACATCGTATTTGCCATTTATTTTATTTTTTTAATCTTATAAAATTAATGTAATAAAGACAATGAATAAAAATAGTTATGCTCAGTGACCAGCTGCAGTGACAGGTTATCAAACTTAAAAGGTCATCGTTCTGGAATAATAAGCTTTCTGTCGAATTAGATCCTCCTCGATGCCACAGATGTTTAACAACTAGGCACATTGCATCATCTTTAACTATACAGAATTAAATTGAAAAGATATAGAAGTAGAGGATTTGAACTCATCATGAACTCTCATCACGAAACATCAGAACATCAAGTACAATATTTAACTACTTTTAATGGTTTGCTCTTCAAGAATGAACATTATTTTCTTCATCAGATTATTACAGGAGAGATACCTTAACGTGGTGTAATGGTTAGCAAGCTAGATCAATTTCGACTAAAAAATGAGTTCGATCCTCACTTGGTGTGCCATACTTTTGGTCCTGTGCCACATCGAAGCTACGCTCAGAAAATAGCCATCAAATTGTTACAGGAGAGGCGAAATTTTTAAACACCAAAATCGGAAACTCAGAGGGTTTTTGAAACATTAAAATAATTTCTAGTTGAAGCCATTGAAAAGAGAAAGGTGCCTTTCTCCAACATGACAACACAAAATCTCATTCAGAAAAAAAAACCGAAACAAAATAACCAGACTGGTGAGTTTTTACCTCACTTCGTTTCAATCGTTGGAACATTTTCTAAGTATTACATTTAGGAATAATAATAAAATGTCACTTTAGCTCTATGCTTTCTTGACATTACATTTGTAACAACCTAATGCTAAATGTCTATCTGAATTTCTGGGATGAAGCCTTACCATTATTTATATAATAATTAATGTTTTCATTTTTAACAACAGACACCTAAAGAAGGTCGGAACACACAACAACCGAAATGAGGTGATGATAGCAAGAAAGATAAGGACATTAGTCCAAATAGAATTAATGTATGATGTTTAACGGTGGGGTTTGTAATTACAGTGGTATTAACCTAAACATTCAGTGCTAACGTTTTTATACATATTTCATCTTTGAAAAATTAGACTGTTATCATAGAATTGTTTAAACCTAATATTTTATTTTAGTTATGATAATAAATGATCCAATCTTGTGATTAAAATCAGAATTCAAAACTCTCTCATTACCGAGGCTCGAGCATCGAATACGTGCACCAGTGAAAAATATGCAACTACTCCTTCCATCATGAAGTGACAGTAATAGCGGAAAATATTGACTACATTAACACCAGTTTCTATTTGAATTTCTGGGATGAGGGATCATGATTATTTATATTACGCGGTCAAGTTGGAGCAATAGACTAGTGAAATAAATCATTGCTTCGTGAATTTTGTGATATAATAATTGTAAGTTCAATCCCGGGGCTAGATAGTAGAGACTTATACCCAGTGGTAACAGTGTAAAATTAGTGAGCAGTACTAAATAAGAACAAGACAAGCTATCCCTAGACAAGTACAGCGGAACGAGAACAGTTTACCCCGTAGATTAAATAAAAGGTTCAGTTCGAAATTCGCTGGAGGTTACCCGGATTGACAAATCCCTGAAGAAAGCCGGAGTACAAAACGGCCGAAACGTTGTGATAATAGCAACAATGGTGAGAATATTAGTCCGAATGTATTCAGTCGATAAGGCCATTGCAGACATTTAACTCAAGAATTGTAATACAAATTGTTCCCAACTTTGATAAATAGAAGTCTTTAGAACTATATTCTTCCTGTAATGTATTTTAATATATGATACTGTTAATTAAAACTTGAGCACCTTCTTGATCTCTTGTATTAAGCTTATGAAATATTATTTGTTGTTGTCTACTTATGCTATTTTCTGTTCAAGATTCATAAGAGAGATGTAGGTACATCAATAAGCCTAATGATTAAAACGTATTTATTTTATACAATGAATATTTATTTTCGACATAATCGCATTCTTTGTTAATGCACTTAATTCAGTGGCGAATAGTAATTGCACAAACCGAACATTATACAGTGTAAATATCAGATCAATATTCAGGTATTAATATGTACCGAACTACGAACCTATTGATCTATCCTCGTATATCTTCTTAAAATTCCATAAATCATAAATATAATTATTTTCTTAACTATTTTCGAGCGGTTATTAATTATTTATTTTTCGAATATATGTCATGATTAATGATGGATTTAGTTGTAATTTTTCTACAAAGTAATTAATCAGTGTCAAGGGGACTGGCATCAAGAGTGTATTTTAAATCAATTTTTGCCTCTTCCAAGAATAGAAACATTAGGTTAACATCAGTTGTAGATAGCAGATTTGAACTCGATTCTGTTATCAACGAGGCCACTTGATGGATGCCTAATCTTTTAATAGAAACTCCTGGAATTCATATTCAAAAATTAACGGAATCATTTCTAAAAAGCTCGAATAATTGAAATCAAAATTATAGTTATTTTTAATTTAATACTAATTCGGTACAAGTCACTTTGCTGACGAAAAGATGATTTCATTTCAAATCGAACTTGTTTGTCCATTTAAAATATTACATTTATAAGAATATATATTCAGTTGAAATACAGATAACTATAAAAATGACTTCAAAGGGTTCACACTTCTGTTTAAACTATTTTTCTGATGTCCTGTTATTAATCTACTTACGACTGTGCCCTTTTGTTTCACTCAAATTGGCTGTATATGTACGTTTGCGTGCGCACATGTATATTTTATTTCAATAGCAGGCCTAAAAATATTTCTATAATATTTTTTAATCTTTAAAAACTAATTATATTTATTACCGAATAATTTCTCAAAATTTTTTGAAAATCTGATTCTTTTCAGGTTTCTTCTTTTTTTTTTTTGTCTCCAACTTCATAATTTTATTGCTCGGCCCTGAGATGAAGGTGAATGTATTATTTCAATGTTTTATTTCAAACTTAGACAAATGGTGTATATGTGCGTGCGTTTGCTTGTGTATACATTAAATGACCGAAGTACATATATGTCACTTACACACACCACATACATACGCATATACATTAGATTCACGCATGCAAAGTCTTACGCCATGTGAAATCAGCTCTTCTTTTATAATATTGATTGTAAATTATAATTTGAGTCCACTATTTCCTTGTGCACTTCAAGTAATTTTTTAATTCGTTTTTCTTGAGGAGGCATTCACACATCATGGCGATTCTAAAGTAACAAGTTAATTTTGATACATAAATGCATTAGTGTGTGCATTTGTATGGAAGTATACGTGTGTGTATATGTGCGGAAGAAGTTGCAGCAAATGACAAGATGTAACCGTAAGGTAACAGTTTCTTTTCTCGCACTTCTCACTAGTGGAACTCTGTACCGGCTTCTTGCTTTCCAGTCAAGTTCGATCTTCAAAAATATAAATGCAATATCAATCGTTATCTGGCGTCTTCTTAATAACTGTTCTTTAATTGTTTTCCATCTTTAATAATGTTTTTCTTTTTTCTTATATTCTTTCGCAATCAGTAATCCCTGCGGCGTAATGGCTTTGTTGCCTTGTCTGGGGTGAAATGAATAAAAAAAAAACAAATATAAGAGTTTCTGATTGCCTCTGTGTGTGTGTGTGTGTGTGTGCGTGTGTGTGTGTGATTTTGTATATAGCGCTAATCGGATGGCATAAATCGCAATACAAAAGCAAAATTTACTCCTAATGCAAAGCATATAAACCTAATGTTTATGTTCCTTTGACTTTCATGTAAAATAAAGATGTTAACATTATTTGGAAGAAAATTTCATAACGATCACAAAAGCATTGTTTTTTTTTTGTTTGTTTGTTTATTGGATGGCAAATATGTTTTAATAATTTCAAGCAATCTTTATAGATCTCTCCGTGTGTGAAGTAATTACTCAATCATCACAACAAATTATCTTATCTTGGTCTTTTGACTGCATATAGCCATTTATCAATCATATTCTTAATAAGTATATATGTATTATTATTATTATAAAAATATAAAAACAAAAGAATTTTTTATAGTTGATCTGCTGGCAATATTTTTAGAATATTTCCTGCTTGATATGATATTCATTGTAAAGAAAGATTACTGTGCAGTAATCCCAGAGGAAACTTAATTCAACGGGAATAAATTTATTTTTTATTTACTTGCGATCACGAAGCAAACTATATTTTCACGTTATTTTAAAATAAACAAAAACTCGAAAATATTACAAACCAAAATGGAGATAAGATAATAAATTGGCTAAAAAAAATCATGGCTTATAACCGAAACGAAAAAAAAAAAAAAAACAAAAAAAAACGTTATATCAGTTTGCTACAAAAGGCGACAGAAATTAATTCAGTTAAGTATATTATCAACAGAGAAGAATTAGATTTTCTGAATTTTGATTTTGGGGACGAACGTTCGAATATTCTTCTCGCGTAGAAATAATGGACTTGCGGGTGGAGCGTTTATATAAGTTCTTGTCATCCACTTAACTGGTGTGTGTGCGTGTGTATATTCTAATTTCAGCTGAGTTCATTTCCTGTTTATATGTTGCTGCAGCCACTGACATCCTTTCCTGTTTGATTCTGCTGTTGATGGCGATGAAGTCACCTCCGAGATCAACTTTCTGTGGTACCTAGCTCGTTTGATGTTCTGGTGTGAAGCTTACTTTGGTATCCTTAGGGTTAGCCCTGTTTATATTGGGGCCACCACAGGTCAACTCCTCTTGGAACAACGGTACCTTATTGACATTAAATTCGATTCAAACCTCTGGTATTTCCAGGGGTGAATCACATACTACAAAACAAACCTCGTTAAACACTGGTTTTAAGGTTAAATCTGTAGCAGTTAGTATTTAACTGCTACAGATTGTCACTCTTGGTTTCACATTTATCCCAAAATCATTCAACGCAAATACACTTCCTTTTTTCTCGCTGTCTTTCCTGGTTTATATTTCATAATTTGCTGTGATCGAAGTGACATTCTAATCCTCTACATTTTATTCGAGTCTCCAAGACATTTTTATGATGATTTACAGGAATAAATGAGGTTATCCTATTGATGAAAATGACACCAACTGTTTCTGAATTAAACTTTGGTCGGGTTGTGTCCGATCAATGTTGAAAGTGAACAGTTTACCAGATATCCGTTTTATCCTTTGGGTTCATGTAATCCCCGATTTTGCATTTGAATGCATCGGAAAAACTTGGCATATTCTGTAACGTAATGATGACCCTGGAAATAAACAGGAAAATTATTAAATTTAACAAATTTTAAATGTTCTTGAAGAAGAAATAACCTGTTTCTTAGAAGTTACCATATATCACACTTAACGTTTAACGCTTAAATGGCACGTATTACCAATTGATGTTTCATTGGAGATCAGCCATTATCGTCAATTGATGATTTAAATATTTCCCGGTGATATGCGCATCATTTATTCGTGATTCGAATTTAATGAACTAATTGACAGCTCTAGGATTCATGAGGTTACTATTTAATAGGATTCATAAGGTGACGTCATTTTCTGGAGTATTTACCTAGAAGAAGAAGCCAAAGAAAATGTTATGTCTATAAATACATCTCGACGAAAAAAGAGGCGAAAAATGGTGATAACTCGGTGTAAAAAAAGAACAAGTCCATTGTACATGAAATGCTTCAAAGAATATAAGACTGTTGAAAAATATTAAATTCGGGAATGTAACATTTATTTTATTTCCCTTCTTCTTTAATTTTATAATCTAAAACATTTAAAATATCATTTCTATAGCTTTTGTATATAATTAAAGCGAACGTAAGCTTAAAAACTATTCCTTGAAAAATGAGTTTTCTTGTTTTTTACCCGTTTGACGTGCAAGTTCGAGTAACATTTTCCCTGTGTTTAAATGTTAGGAAAAACAAAATATAAAACTTCTCATATACTTATATACTGGCTTGGTCGAATAACTTGTAGCTATTGCCAATTAAACACGAGTCTCGGGAAATTTCTGTTGATACTTCTACTGATTGCAAGTTTGTTTTTGTTTTAATATTAATCAGAATATTTTATGAAAGACATAATCTAAAAAATACGATAAGCTGTATCAAAAATTTTTAAATTGTAAATTATGATGACAGTCTGATGACATTTCTTTCTAATTATTAAGCAAAGTCAAAACAGACAATTCTTTTACTCCGCGGAAATCCGAAAAAAAATTATTTTTTAAATAATGTATGGATAAAAAAGACAAACTCC